TGTTCGGTTTGTATGCTCGCCATTGGTTTTTTTCTTTGATGACTCGAATACGATATATTCCAGACCTCGGGTACCATACTGTCTCTTCTGGCTGTACCTGTTCCAGAACGTTGTCAGTTTTAATTTTGAAATGGTTGGCGATCACTTCCTGCTCCTCCTCCCTGCCGGCCTGGCGGGTTTACACCACTTCCAATCAACCCCTCGGTACCCTAGAACCCCAAACAATCTCCCTCCATTAACACCAACCCTTTCCTCAAGATTCAGATCAAGTCGAGAGAGATAACAAAGATAATGGTCTTCAAAGTTTCTCCCACTTTATGGCGGTACTTCAATTTCTTCCTTAATCGGGTTTCTGACAGTCAGTCTTTGGTTTTCTGGTTCCAGATATCTTTGACTTGAAGCACATCATTCTTAACCCAACCTTTCCAAGGATTTTCACTGCTATGAAAGACCCTTCTTTGGGGGCCAATTACCCATTGATTCTCGAACAGCGGTTGTCTGGCCACTTCTTTCCAACGCATCGGTGAGACTTTGTCGGGTAGGGGTAACTTACGCCTTGTCCTCAGTATCGTGGTCCAAAGAGGGTCTTTCTTCAATTTTTGCTTGGCCGCCTGCCTGTTTGATCCTCCCTCCACATTGGACCAGGCCGATTTTTGCGGTATGGTCCAATATCTGTCCTCAAGCCACGTCCCCGACTCTACATCAGGGGGCGTAGGTGACCCTAACCTAGCAATCTGCTGTAAGACCAAGGGTTGTCATGGCGTCCGTGTGAAAAAAAAAGACCTTTTACCCACTTGAGGGCTAGAGCACTCACTCGAGTGACCGGATCGATTATCCGTAGCCCTCTTTCAGTTCCTGGTTATACGACCAACTGCCAGGTCACTCTACTAATGACCCTCGGACACTTATGATTCCCCATCCACAGGAAGGCAGGCACGTGCCTCTGGAGGGAAGTTGTCGTCGGTTTGTTGAGAGCCCAAATTACTGTTTTATACTAGAGGGCGACAAAAATTACATTGTTGATTACTAGGGGAGAGAAGGTTAACCGACCCCCCAATTTTCACCGTCATTTATAAGAAAACCAAAAGGTCATTTTAACCATACTTTACACCAATATGTAGAGTGCACTTCTTACTAACATATTGTAAAAACAAAACCGGAAAAAAGAAAAAAAAACATATAAAACAACAAGTCAAAAGTGCATTTCCATTAAATTTTACCAACATTTCAATTTATCGATTTTCACAATTTTCACCATTGCCTAAAACAACGATCTCAAGGAACCCAACTAACACCAAACTTAGCACATACAGACCTTGACCAAAAACAGAACACGCCAAAAAAAATAAATAAAAAATGAAAAAAGCAAAAAAACATGATCCCCACTACACTTTTGAGGGTGGTGAAGGTTACCCTAGGGGTGAAAAGTGAGGGTATCTGTTAACCATTTGTGCCCTTGTGTCTTGTCACCCCAATTAATTGTCATATCCGAGAGGGAGCAAAAATAATCCATCATTTTTTGAATTTCCAACATGTTTTCATGGGATGCGTCTAGCATTATTGTAAGATTATCTTAAAAAAGGGAACAAACAGGAATGACGTCTTTTGGGATGAAGGAGAGAAGGATTTTTTGAAGGTCCTTGTGAACCCTTAAGTTGGTGGTAGGGCCTCCATGATAATAACGGGAAAAAAATGGGCAATAGGATCTCCTTGCCTCACCAACCGTTATAAGTGAATGGTAGGGGTCAGTCTACCATTTACTTGAATAGTTATTGTGGCATTTTGATGCAAAATTTCGACCCACCTTCTAAAGGTTGGGCCAAAATTCATCCTCTCGAGGCATTTGTCCAGGAAGGCCCAGTTTAAATGGTCATATGCCTTCTCAAAATCCACAAAGATAATGGCAGCGTTGTGTTTAGATTGCATTGATAATTTTAGGACCTCATTAACTGATAGAATGTTGTTCTGGATTTTTCGTCCTCTAATAAAGTTTGTCTGCGTTGGGTGGATAATATCCCCATCACCTCCCCCAGTCGGTTTGCCAATGCCTTTTCCACCAATTTATATACCACAGTTAAGAGGGTGATCAACCTATAGATTCTTATGTTCATTTGATCCCGATGTGACCCTGAGACAAAAGTTGTTCAATTTATTTGTTTGCATAACATTGTCTTTTTCAAAGTGTTTTTTTTTTTTTTTTTTTGGGGGGGGGGGGGGGGGGGGGGGCCTTTCGCAGTCCTGGCACGATCGGTCGCCCGGGAAAATAAGGTGACCCAGGCGGCTCGGCTTGTAGCCTTGGGAAAAAACTATATTTTGCAAAAATATAAACTGAACAACTTTTGCTTCAGGGTCGAGTGGCCCCGAGCCACTCTGGTAACCGAGTGTTTGTTAAAATATGCCTTACATGATGCATAATAAAACATGTCTAAATAATTTTAGCTTTACGCAAAAATTGTTTCAAATATTTAACGAATTTAGTTGTGTTAGCGTTGACGAATCCTATTTTAGCTATTATAATGTCTATTAGTATGTTTTCATTGAAATAAATGTATCCATTACAAGGATTTTGCATCAAATTTTATCTTTTTTTTGTTTTAAGTTGCCGAGTTTATTTATTTAACTTAGCCTTAATACAAGTAGTAACCAATATTATGAGTTGTTTTTCTTATAGATGTTTTGTTAAATTCGTTTACTAGATCTCGTTCGAGTTAGGCATGTACTACGGGTCTTTTATTTCCAGTACAGAAATCAACGAACTGGATGTTGGTATCACATATAGGTTGTAGTGCTTCAAGATGTCGTTCAGTCGTCTGCCGCCAATAATTGACAACGTTTGATATTTGGCAAAATATGTCTTATATGACGTATAATAAACCATGCCTAATAATTGACACGTGCTCTCAAGTAAATTAAATTAATGAACAATATGCATTACATTTATCTAAAACACCAGTTTGAGCCTAATAAAGTGAAATGTGACAATTCTAAAATAAGCATGTAAGGCTGAAAAAGTTTATGATCTATTGGAGTACACAAGATTGTTGGTAACTTAACCTTAACAATTTTTTATTTTTATGTTTGTTAAGGAATAATAAGGAATTGGGGGGTCGGTTACTCTGACGCAAGAAAAAATATTATTTAAATAATAATAATAATAACAAGAAGTTTGCCTGATGAAAATGGTTTGCATTCAACTGAGTAAAAAATTACGAGAGGCTTTATATATACTGTTCAATCACATGGATGAGAAAAAACAAGAATAATGAGAATTGTAATAATGAAAATAAAACATAAAAGAAACACGCTCGGTGACATGGCTTCATTACCATCTTCCTGAATATAAAACCTATGTATGAAACTACTCGATGAACTAAAGGCAAAATGGGAGAAAACAATGAACAAAGGGGTGCGACGAGCTGTTTCGATGGAGTTTCACCGATCTATTAGGAGACTATCGGGGGCGTCGATGGCCTTGAGTTACGGCCCCAGATAATAAAACCACTCGCACCCTTCCGATGCAGATTGTTCCGATGTGACCTTTATACCGCCAGTACATCGCTCAGGCAAACTTGAGGATCAACATCGAGCCAATCTGAAAATTTTGGAGGCTCGAGGCAAACAAAAAAAAACAGGGCCGTGCTTGTGTTTTGGCAAAGATTTGCGTGCAAGGTTAATCCGCCTCGGCCGGAAGAGGCTCCGATGTACTGGTGGTTGAACGCGCCGTGTTCGACAAAGCTCGGCGAATCTGAACAAAACCGCTCCCGACACCAGGCCAAAAGGAAAAAAATGGACCAGGCAAAAAAGAGAAAAATGCAGCGGTGCATGTTCATGTTTTCTTTTGCATGAATCTGCATTGAGGTACCCGTATGAGGCTTCCTTTTGCCAAATCGGATTCACTTCTGCACGTCAAAAAAGGGCAAACCAGGGCAAACCGGCACATTTTATTTTTTGGCTGGTGCTGCCAAACCATTCAGCTCCGGTAGGCCATGCCTAAAAAGCTGTGGGGCGTGCACTGCTGCTCTGGTAGGCCATGCTCAGAAAGCTGCGGGCTGCTCTGGTAGGCCATGCTCAGAAAGCTGTGAGCCGTGCACGGCTGCATCACAGCAGAAAATGGCTGGGAAAGGTACTCCTGGTCTAATCTGATAACGAGATTTGAACACAGGTCCGCTTATCAACAGTTCATGGGACTACCATTCAGCCACACCTCATGTGTTTCCTCATGCTTACTGTTAATTTTTCACTCGACAGCGTGTATGCACCCGCACTCCCCCCTGGTGACTTGAGAGGATATTGTCCAATCCGAGTACATGCCCAAGGCAGCTGTCACCCATAAAGCGGGGACATTATCCAATCCAAAGACTGAAAAGGGGGGCCAAGTCCCACTAGTTGTCTGGACCGTTCAGGGTCAGCAGTTTTCTGAACATTGGTCATTCAGGACCCATGGCAATACTTTGGCCACGTCGACACGAAAAAATGCTGGAGAACTACTTGATCGAGTTGGGGGAGTGGGATTTACGGCTTACACGTGTTAGAGAAAGGCCGCCACTGGTGCTGTATTTAAAAGGCTAACCAATTCAATTACCTGTCAAATCTGGATAGGACGGCCTTTCAGGCCTTTTTTATTGTCATTATAGTATTACGGGGAGTTTATAAAAAAAAAATGATGTTAATGCATCGGGCTGGCGGCTACTACGGCCAGATTTTTGAATGTGAATGCATCGAGCTGGCGGCTACTACGGCCAGGCTCATGCTTGCAGCATCCTTTCCAACCATGAACACAAGCATGAACACAGCAGCGGGCGAGGCTGGTCCTTCCTCTGTGTGTGTGTGTGTGTGTGTTTTTAATAATTTGGACCATTTCTCGATTTATGCGTGTCATCCTTGCGCAGGGGCCATGCTAATCTTCTCTGTATCGTTCCAATTTTAACGGATGTCCCGAAGGACCTTCCTGTGGGTTTGGTTACCTCTGGGTTCGTTCTTCGGGACATTCGTTAAAATTGGGACGATACAGAGAAGATTAGCATGGCCACCGCTGTGCAAAGAATATCGTTGGGTCCCCTCGCCACATTGTCGCCCTCGTTCACCGCGCTGACATTGGGCGGTCTTGCTGTATATTCCCGTCCCTTGATCCCGTGGCAATGCGCACAAGCGTTGGGCAAAACCCGTCGTATCGTAGCCCAAAGGAAGCAAGCACTCCGCCGAAGCCTCAGCGGGTGGAAGCTTGTGGCTGTCGTGATTGTGTTCCGGCGGAGGAGAGTCCGACCGAGAGGAGAGAGCATCTACCGCATCGGCTTTGAGGTGAGCTCTTTTGCCCTTGCCTCTGACGTTCCTCTGCGTTCCTTGTCTGTTCGCTCTGGCTTTGGCCCCAATCTCCGTCCTGTTGCCGATCTTGGCGCTTTCTCGTGTGAGTACGCCATCCCTTCCCCTCCTCAGGGGGTACCACATTAGGACCTTTTCGACTCGCCATCCCTTGCCCACCTCAGGGTGTACCACACGAGGACCCTTACCACGACCGTGTCTCTGATACGCAACTCAGCTGTGGAGGTGATTGCGTGTAGATACACCCATGGCCAGTCGTTATTCCAGTCGGATACATACGGAAGAGTCCTAGTGTGAGTACGCCCTCAGATGGCTGGAGCGGTCTTTCGTCCCGTGTTGTACATCTCAGCTTTCTCCATCCATCTACCTTATCCCTTGCCTCCGCTCTGACGGCCTTCTGGCTGAACGCACAGGAAGAGAGCCAGATTCCTTTGCCCGGACGTACAGGTGAATCCGAGAGAGCGGGGACCGAGAGTTGTGATAAGAAGAGCGTGTGTGTGTGTGTGTGTGTGTGTGTGCGTGCGTGCGTGCGTGCGTGCGTGCGTGCGTGCGTGCGTGTGTGTGTGTGTGTGTGTGAGAGAGAGAGAGAGAGAGAGAGAGAGAGAGAGAGAGAGAGAGAGAGAGAGAGAGAGAGAGAG